ATACTCTGGAGGGAAATTAAAAGGACATTACATTGGGCTCCTGCTGTGCTTTGCCTTTGGAGATATTTCTCTCTCTCCACTGACCTGGCTCCCTAATGAGGCATGTAAACTAGGGAATCCCCCCCAGCAAGTGTGCTTCCTTGCAAAGTTTATAGAAAGGAGATGTCCAAGATAACCTGCCTGGCCTATCTGTACTTCTGACTGAATCAACTAGCACCCCTGGAGGGAAAATAGGGATTAAAGAAATGGCATTGGCAGGACCAAGTTTAACACCCCAAACCTATTAGGGGAGAGAATGCGGCATATTGATTCCAGCCCCTGACCTTGGAATAATGTAAATACGAATACAGCAACCCTAGAGGAGTTGTAGCAAAATAGTTATAGCATTGCAAGCAGATTAAAAAATACAGTTAATATACATACTTCCCCAGATGCTTGTTTATTATCATGCAAGACATGTTTATTATGCAAAATGATAGAGCAGAAAAAAAAAAGCAGAGAAAAAGAAAATGCAAAGACACACTGAGCTCTTAACGTGACTTGGATTTTGTCAATGCTGTTTAGATTTTTTTATTTATTGTGCATAATCATTCCCTTATTAGCAAGAATCTTTGAAGTGATTCAAGCTCTAATTTCAGCATTTCAAACTCACAGGTTTATACTGTAAAACCACACTGAGCTCTTGTAAGCGACCCATTTTTTCCCTCTGTATTCTGTATCTCTGCTAGGGTTTTTCTTAGTCTTTCCAATAAATTATGTATCACAATTTGCCATTTCAAAAATAATTAGAACTCTGAGTTAAACAACAAGGAATATCTGAGAGCAGTACATTTTAGAAGAGAAGTGTTATGCACTTGGGGCAAAATCAATCCCAGCTGTAACGCCACTGAATTATACATATTGTATTGAAAGCCGCAATTTCAGTGTACTTGGAGTGATTGGGTGGGCCTGAGGATGCTCTGCAGCCCCATGATGAGCATCTGCTCCAGGAGAACCAGGTTTGTCTCTCAGGCAAAACACTTTGCAGGCGCTCCCTTCTCCGTGCCCCTGTGAGTTGTTGCAGCAGGGGTGATGGAGAGAAAATGGGTGCCAAGGAAAGAAACTTCACAGAGAAAGGTTATGCAGGAGTAGGAATTAATTTGGTGGTGGAACTATTAACTCCAGACAGAGACAGGAGAGCATGTTCTGTGTCTTCTCTGGTTACGATTAGGCTGTAAACTCACTGGAGCAGGACATACCTCTTTATTCTGTTTCCCTCTCCTCTGCAACAACCAGCCTTTGGTCTCAGCTTCCCAAGAGCTAAGACGGTACAAGTAATATCCACTGCCCTTCATTCATTCTGTATGTTTTTACTTTGGCATAAAATGCTAACAGTGAATCCTCAGGAGAGTCATGTTGCTCCTCAGAACAGGTGCTAATAAAAAAAAACCCCAATCACCTTCATGCACCATCAGGGAACTTACAGCTGCTCTACATTACAAGAAATCAAATGGGAACACACCATTGACTCTGCAAGCTTGCTATGAAGGCAATGTTTTGCATCCTACTGTCTGCAAAGCCTCAGACCAAGACCTGATTTTCTTGCCTACTAAGCACCTAATTCCCCAGCAGACCTCAGAGGTAGCTATAAACTAGTCTGGAAAAAAAAAAAAAAAATAAATCAGGTGTCGAGTGTAAGTAAACAATGCATGAAAGTCATAAACAGCTGCTTCTCAAGCAAAGACTCTTTGGCATCTAATTCAATTAGGCCTCAAAAGCTGTCTGGGGATCTATGGTTGGCTTCAATCCAGCAACCTGACCCCATACTGTCCCTGCCTATACCTAGCTGAACAGAATATATGAGGAAATTCATGCTAAAGGTATCACACTGTGAGCACGTAAGAGGGTCTTGCATGTTTCCGCAAACAGTCTTCTCAAGTTTGGCTTTAGAGAACCTCATTCAGACATGCTTCTGTGCTAACTGACATCAGGAAGACTTTTTCCAAGGGCTAGTTATTCTAAACCCATTCATTCAAGAGTTCATTGGCCCAAACTCAGAAGGAGCTGGCACAAACCAACTCCAAAACCAGGCTGATAATAGCCTCTGGTTTGATCCAGGGTAGCGGATGTCAGCCAAGGTCTCAGCTGACGCACACAGATTAAATATCAACAACAAAATCCCACCAAACAAAAACAAAACAAACCCACAGTGATGATGTGTTCAGTAACAGACACAAATCTGGATTCAAGAGAAGAAAAAAAAGCTAACACCCAAAACTTTTCCCTGGACGGTCACATTTTATCTAAACGCAGTCCTGGGTTTGTGGGTGTTACAAGAAGTCCTAGCAGGGCTAGGTCTGGGACAGACAAGCAGGGGAGGCAGCCAAGCAGTAGAAAAAGTTCATTTATCAATGAATCTGTATCAGTGTACAATATCTATGGAGAATATTGACCCATTTTCCAGAAATGCCTCAGAAAACACTAGTGAAAAAAAAATAGGTACATGCACAACACCAAAGGAAACTGGACGGAGACAGAGTAAAGCTGTAGTTTAGGGTCTGTTAAGCAAAGGAACAGGGACGATGTGTCCTTTGCTGTGGGCAGCAATCAGGTCCAGGCGGCACGGCCAGGGGGCCTGCTCACCCCAGAGTAGAGCAGACTGTCAAGTCCTGCCAAAGCAATTGTCCAGCACAGCGTTCGACACAGCCGTGCCAAATGTTGGCTTGGAGTAGGATCCTGGCCCCACAAGGATAGCTGCAGCATCCAGAAGAGACTGCTTGAACAGCCATACCCAGTCCTCCTATAGGACTCTGGTCTCATCCCTTGTCTTTGATACTATGAATGGCTTGTCCCACACTCCCTGGTCCTAGCAGGCTTTATCCACAAATTTTCTTTTTTCTTGCCTTGGCATCTGCTCCAAAGCACAGTGAATTCATTGATTTACTGCTGTAAGACAGAGACAGAGCCACAGGTCTATACAAGAAAATAGCATCCAGCGAGATCTCTCTCTCTGGAGTAGAGATGGGCCAGTAGCACCCTTTTACTGCAAGTAGAAACCTCAGATAATGTTGACAAAATGAACAGTTTAACTCTTATTAGTTCAGATAGAGCTGAATATCATCAAGCCGTGGCATGTAATGAGGCCCACTTCATTAACCACTGGCCATCATGCTGCATCCTTAGGCTCCCTGATTAACCTTCCTATTTCACACTTGCCGGGAATAAGCGGGCCCTGTTAAAACACCCTCATTTGAATACATGTATGATTTGGTGCCTTTTAGAACATTTAATATGGCTAGCAGATGTGTTTCCTGGACACAAGGTCCTTCTGCTGCCCACTATCTCTTGGTACATCCCTCCCACCCTTTGCACCGTCTCACTATTGCTAGAAAAAGATACTTTTCCTCTGCATCGTCTCTAATCTCTCAGCTGTCAAACATCACGTTTCCAACTCTCCATTTTTTTATCTTGCCTGAGCCCCACACCTTTCCCTCCCTTGCACCATTTGTTCAGAAAATGCTGACCCCTCATTGCTCCAAAAAGAACCGCCCCAGGCTGGATGGAGCTCTGTGGCACACACCACTTTCCTGCAGTCCTCATTTATGGAGTACCAGCAGTATGAAGACCCCCAGTGCCAGACCAGGACCCTTTATGCCCAGAACTGTACAAACACAGAGCAAAATGTCAGTCCTGACTCCCCTGACTATGTGCCTAGAGGGAAGCACGCACAATAATGCAGCACCACACCATGCTTGGTATTACCTTTAGGACTCTGATAGCTTTACAAAAAGAGGAAGTTTTCATTGTTAGTAAACCGATGTAATTTATTTAGAAGCAGTCATTTATGTTTACTGGGCTATGAAAGAACAGGAAGCGTCTGGCATCCACAGAGATCCAGATTGATCTCTCTGTCTCTTCTTGACAAGCAGCCAGTTTTGAGACCTATCTCGCCAGGCATACTAACACATCCACTTGCTGTTTTCTACCCTGAACCACTGGGGAGGCTGAGCTTTGCTACCTCTCAAGGGAAAGGGGGAAATCCCGACCACGTGAGAGGTTTAAAACTGACCAAGAACAAAGATGGATGGTAAGAGTTCAGAAATATTGCATAGGGGCAACTCGGACTGTTGTCCTTTCAGTGGTCCTCACTCCATTCTCACGTACACTTTTAAAGCAAAGTAAATGTCTAGACAAGAGCAGAATTGCTGCACTGTAAATTTACAGAAGGACAGATGAGATTAGAATCTTGGCTATAAACTTTAAAGATATCATAGCTACAGAAATGAGAAGTGTATTATTAACTATCACTTTTTACTATGTAGAACTAGAGCAAAGTTATTTGAAGCATAAAAAATTCTGGCAAAGGGCTGCCGTATTTAATAAATCACTGAATCAATTATTCACTGTGAAAATCAATTACTTACTTCAAATGAGAATCTTATGAATAACCTCATGCCCTTTCATGCCATCTAAGAAAGTTATAGGGGAATTAGTCAGTAAAAAATGCCTCACTTATCTTTTATGTGCATTAAAAAGACCACACAAATACAGGGAAATTCTGCCAACAGAATAGTCCAGAACCATTTTAATGAAGTCAGGATATTGCTGTAGATTTACACTGCAGTCAAAAGCAGAGTATGACCCATTGGGGCACCACCTAAGGACAGTTATCCAGGCGCAATTCAGAAGCAATTCCATTCAGTCCATGCCATTTCACAAATGTGAAACCAGAATATAACCAGCCAGCCACACAACCTCCTCTACAACATACCTACATTAAGTAACTACTCAAAGGAATAGAAAATGTATCTTCACAGGTCAGGAAATACTGCCATGAATCTCCGTGGAGACACTTTAAAGTGAATATTGCATGGCCATGCAGCAGCTTCCCCCGTTCCTGCTTTTAAAGGTTTGCTGATACGTGCCCATTTTCAGAGAAAGCTGCAAGTCCCAATGCAGTCTCCTCCCTCCCTCCTACAAAACCAAACCACTCCAGGACCCCAACAGTGCAAAGTACTTACTGAGCTGTAGAGATATCCCTCAGCGTTCATGGCAACGTACAGACCTGCCTTCACCCCTTGGATTGCCACCACACGGAGACCCACAGGAATTAGATTGAAAAGAGCTGCAGAAGGAAAAGAAAAGCAAAGGTTACGGATACATCACCCTGTGTGGCTGCTGATGCTTTTTGCCCCCAGGCCAGTCCACCCCACTCTTGACTTTTACAAAAGATACTGAACTAGAATCAAAAGTCCTGCTTCCAGCTACAAGAAAGGTCTGCAGTCATGAGGCCCATGTCGAAAGCAAATTTTAAAAATTTACAGAATTTGGATGCTTCCCAGAAGCCTTAACACACCCATCAGTCTGTTTGATCACTGCCTTTGCAATGCCAAGGGCTCATACGTGCATCTCAACGGCTTTCTGTGGGCCAGCTGAGCTGTGGTAACTGCACATGTACACATCTTTACCCGTGGCAAATGCAACAACACAACTTAGTTTAGTTCAACCTGAAACAGATTTTAGCCCAGTCACACTTTCTAGCATTTGCCATATGCTGTAAGAGTATATAGACAGTGACCGCAGCCAGAAGGATGCAAATTAACTTGACTGTGTGTCTGCCCCTGCGATCCCTGCTGTTAAAAGAATGAAGAATGTCAGGAAGAGATACTGCTCAACTCTAGAACAAGAGCACTGCTCCTCATTCAGAAGCAGCACTAGATAGGACAGAAGAGGACAAGCCCTTTACATACACAATTCTACTGCAATCTTATTGATTAAAGCATTGCAACCACTTCCTCCCAATTAATTACTTTATGGTTTTATTCCAAGTAGACCCTGTATCTCATTGAAAGACTTTTCCAAGGAGCCTATACATTAATGTATGGTCAGACTTTTGCTATATTTCTAACAGAACAGGCTCAAAGAGGGAGAGGACTGTTATTGTTGATAGCCTGAACACTGAGGCATTAGCATGGTTTTGTTTCCACTGAGATTTGTAGGACAAGAGTATCCAGGTGTTGCAGGACCCCTTGTGCTTCAGCTTACAAAATGCTAACTAGACCTTGCCCCAGTGAGCTCAGGTTATGAAAGAGGGATACAGCGTTGGAAAGAAACACAGGCACAGACACCATGGAAATACTTCACTGAAGGTCTGTTCCAACACAACTGCCCTGAAACGAGTATTTTTTCAGGTTCCCTAGTCATGAGGTCAGACTGTCTCTTCCACATTCATGAAGCATTTCTTGTGGCTTTTTAACACACTCATTTATTTGCAAAAGCTCTCTTCAAACTTCTCAAGAACTTTGGGGTGTTCCAATTATCTCAGAGGAGACCTGCTAATGGGCAGAGTGCAGAGGAAAGACTGGGTGACAAAGCAGGCATGGAAGAATTCCTATTTTCCAGCTGACCATTAAGGACATCATCCTCTAGCTGATTCATTTTATAGATCATTTACGAAGTTTTATGCCTGACATGAAACATCACGTTGGAGCAAGCGCAGCACAAAGAGGTCTTCATAATGGTTGTAGGAGAAACAGTTCTCTTTCTCACTGTGCCATCTCCCAGCATCTCTTTCTCTGGGAGATGGATCACTGCTGATCTGACATCAGCCCTGAAGGGTAAAGCAGCTTTTGCTGAAATGGCCTATTCAAAATACTGTAGTTCCCCAGGCCAGGCTACTGTAAATCCCTGGGGGGATGGGAGGGAATCGAGACTGGCTCAGCATCAATCCACCACCCTGAGGAGACTAGTTAGATGTGCACATGCCAGGTAACATGAATTTAACTCAACCATGAGATGTTTCCCAAGAATGTCCCTCACATATTGCATGTGAATTATTGCAGAGCAGAGAAGGTGGTGTGTTGGAATTTCTTTCCAAAGCAAAAAAAAAAATAATTAAAAATTTACAGCTAAGGTGGAGAGAAAGGAGGGGGAGAACTGAAACTGTTGATTGATTCTTTCCAGTGTGCTTGCTCCAAAGTCCCAGGAGTTGCACAATTTCTAAGAGAAAAAGCGGAGCCCAAAGGTTGTGAAACGTAATGGTAAACTGGTTATGTCTGACCCGAACCCGTGGTGGATTTGCTTAGAGGTCAGAGGTGGATACCTTTTCAGAAGTAAAACATGAAGAAAGCACAGGAGACAAAAACCACTTTGTTCAAGTTATCTAACAGGTGCCCTGGTTAAGCTGGTTTTAAGGCTGTCTCCAAAAAGGGATTTGACTCCTGTTTTCCCATGAAGGCTCTTTTCTCTCCCTCGATCCCCAAAGAAGACTGGATGACTTCACTTAGTGAGCCACCTAAAAGTGAGGCACTTTGAGTTTAGTGAAAACAAACCTATCCCCAGCCCCTTTTCATGGCTTTAAGCACCACATTCCATAAAATATCAAAGTGGATGCAAAGCCAGCACCTATATTTTTACATGATTTCCTAGGAGGATGTCAACAGATGTATATGGTAAATGAAGTCCAGCCTGGGCATTGGTTCTGTGAGCACCTGTCCCCAGAGGAGAAAAACACAGCCCAGTCTAGCTACTCAGCATTAAAGAGCTGCATTATAGCACAGTTCTACTCTTGAAAAGCTCACTAACCATGGGAAGCGTATATTTCTATCACTTTCTCGCTACCATTAAGGTTTAAAAACCCTCTGCAATTAACAAGTCTATTTATAAGCAATTCCCCTTCCCTAATTCTTCCCCCCCACTGAAAAATGGAGCATATTACTGCTAATAATGAAGCCAAATGGGCATCATCATTCATTCCCTACAGCCAATTTGTCTTGCATAGAAAACTTGTGACAGACCATTCAAAGCATTCATTAGGCAGCGAGGTGATAATACCCAGAATTAGTGGGTGAGAGAAGTTACACTTGGAAGCACTCACATGTCTCCAAAAGTTTCTTTCCACCTCTACATGCTAAGGGAGCATAGGAACAATCCTGTTGTGCTCTATGTTACAGTAGCAAGACTGCAGCCAGTTCCCAAGCTCCCTGGGACCCAGCTGCAGCACCCACAATCATGGCTTTTAGGCATGCCGAGCATCTCCTGCAACACACTGCAGAGCAGGGGAGCAAGCAGGAGGACATGCATCTGACATAGGCAACTGACAGCCAAAAGAAGTTTTAGGAAGCAAATGTCTACCTCTATTAAAAAAGTGGTTTGGGTCAATCAAAACTTTGTAAATTCTCAGAGCTGCTTCTGCACTTAAATCTAGAAATATCTTTGAAGAAGCTGGATCCGTTTGTTATTATGCTTCCAAATGAATATTTCATTTCATTTTGGAACTTATTTTAAATCTTGTAAGTTTTATTGTAAAAATGTAAAAATCTTGATGGTAAAAACCCTCAACCAACCTTGAAAGCAAGATATCTTCTTATTTTTTTTTTGCCAGGAAAAGAGGTTCTGGTTAACATGAAACAGCAGATGGGGAAGATGACTGGATGTGGTAGAGTAGGACTGGCCACAGGATCTGCTAATGTGAAAAATGCTTTTAAAACTTTTTCTCCACTGCAAATGGTACGCTTTCCATGCCATCTGCAACTGCACGGAATGGACACATTCTTTTACTTCATGAGCAGAAGAGGAAAAATATTAAGACATTGACTATTTCTGCCTATTTTCCTTCATTACATCTTACCATTTTCAACCATCAGTAGATTTACATCTGACCCTGCTTATTAATGATACTACTCTTAGCACACTCTAGTCCTAAAGCCTTTGGCCATGAGTATGTTGTTCACTGTTCTATTATGGCAGTTTATCAGCTGCATAACACATCTTTAAAATCTGAATGCATACTTAGCTATGGGTCTGGGCTAACATGTTTACAGAAATAGAAGAGTAAGGCAAGACATGCTATATATAAGATGTTGTCCATATGCTCAGCTGATTTAAACAGTAGTTAAGTCAGAGGAGCTAAACTAATTTATACCAGGTGATTTTTCTGGAACAAAACATTTGTTCTGCATATGAATAAGTAAGAACTAATGGAGGGTGCAATAGACAACAGCAGCCTCTGTGCATCATGACATGGGGAGGTTTAAGATCCTAAGGGAAGTGAGGAAGGCTGCTAAGATGATCAAGAGGCTGTGGTGCAAACACGTATGTGAAGAAACTGAGGGAACTGGGTTTGCTTAGTTCAAAGAAGGAAAACTAATGCTACCAGAGACAGACTCTTCTCAGAGGAACACCGTGAAAGGACAAGGGGCATTAGACAAAAGCCTCAGAAAGAAATTATGACTGGATATAAAGAAAATTCTCTACAATGAGAATAGTGCAGCACTGGAACCAGAGAGGTTATGAAGCTATGGAATAGCTCATTGCTGGAGATGTCTGAAACAACTAGACAAGCCTCTGTGCAGCTGAAGATAACCCAGCTCCAAGTAGGATGTTGGGCTGGAGACATCCAGGGCTTTCCCCAGTCTTAATCTTTTTGTGTTTCTGGCTGGAAAGCCTCAAACAATATCCTAGATATACTGGGCTGTTTCCACTTGATCAGTACAATTGACCTATCCTTTATGTACTGTCCATTTGCTACGGCTTTTCAGACATTCAGCAGGTTATGCTGGCAAACGAACAAGTCCAGTTGCTCTCACAAAGAAGGGGCATTACCCTGCTCAGCCCAGGAAAGAGCAATTATGATGCAAGCATTGACAGTCGTTCAGGGCTTATTGCTGCTGTTTGAAATCACTGGAGTTAGATGGAAAAGATACTGCCCCAAAGTCAGGTTCATATATAACATTACTGATAGCACAAACAAGAGCCTCATACACCATGAAACTGCACTCCAATTAAAAGGAAATTCTTCATATATCCCAATGCAAGCAGGCAGAGAATCTGTCTTCTTGCTTACATTAAGATGGCGTGCCTTTAACTACATGGTATAAGGAACAGATGTCCCAAGCGCTGTTTCGCGGGAAGCTGGCTGGATGCCCATTCAAATGCCATTAGAACTTGGCTTCTGGGTTGTTTTTTTTTCTTTTTCTATAAGTGAGAGGAGGTGGAAAATAAATGCCATCAGCTTCTCAAGAACACACATAAAACGGGCACCAGATAATTAATTTAAAAATTGCTTAAATATTAGCAGTTCCTCTTATATAAATATCTAGAATTTTATTAGAACTTTTAATTACATCAGACATATCTGAGGGACATGTCGTGTCTCATTTTAAACGTTTATTTTGCCAGAGTAAACCAACCTAATGTATTCCATAAAAATAAGCTTCCTTCCATAATGCTAATTTGAATAATCAGTGTACGGCTACAGAACACAGAGCAATGTATGGAACCTTCTGCATGGAGAATAGATGGTCATCCAGGGTGGGAAGGATCCTGCGGTAGCCATCAAGGTTGCCCTTCTTGCAAGTGGATGTGAGTTAAACAGCCCTTCTCTGGGGAAAGGGAAATATTATTTCTCTAGTCTTTGATAAGTTTCGCCCTTGCACAGAAATACTGCACAGACTTCTGGCTGGTCTGGAATCTTCTAGAGAAGTATTTTAAAATGGAAAATATCGGTGAAGTAAATCCGTAAACTGTTCACTCAGACAAGTGAATTTTGACTTTTTTTCTGGTCAAAAATTGAGATGTTTGGAGGAATACAAATAAAAAAAAGAAAAAATAGTCAGTATACTTTATTTTGGCATTTCCAATGTGAAAAATGTGATTTTGTTTTGAAGCTATAAATGGAAGTTTCATATAATAGAAAATGTTGATTCAAACTGAAGATTTATGAAGGAGAGCATGGAGTAAGAAGTTAAACAAAACCAAATAAAGGACATATTTCATTTTCAGGGACCAAATATTGGATTTTTTCCAATTTTGATATCCCCTGAAATCAGAAGATGGGGAATTCTTTGGCTTCAATGTTCTCTCAAGAACTTCACTAAACTTTCCACCACAGCCCCATGACTTTGAAGAAGTGGCTTAGCACTCTTCAGTTAGATGCCTCCTGTCCCACCAAGCTATCAAGGCTGGGCTGCCATCTCACCAGATAAATTTAGAAGTGCCCTTCAGCCCATCTATTTCCATTTAAGAAGCCTGGGTGGAAGTGGCTCACAAGTACTCGGCACCTAGTGAAACTGATCTCTAACTTTTCTAATGGGATACATAAATAAGAGCTGTTTGGGTGATTGAGGCCCAGCTTCAGTCATGGACGCTCAGGAGGCTCCTCTGCACCCACCAAGGTGCAGCTTCCCCTGTCTCTCCTGCCAGACTGAAATATTGCAAAACTGCTCTTACATTTTATTCTCCTTCATTGTTTACCTAAATTCATCTCTGCTTCCATTTAAGCCCATTACTTTGTTGTTCGGTCCTCACTGATAGATGAGGGTAATGAATCCCTGTCATCTCTAGCAGTTCTTCCCATGTCGTTGACAAATAGACCTCCAATGAGATTTTCTGCAGATTGAGAAAACCCTACATCTTTCTTTAAGAAAAAGCAGCTAATACAGCCCAACGCTGGGTCATTACTCACCCAGTAAAGCCCACTGAACTCATCACATGTTGGTGTCTGAGAAAATCATAAGACCAGACTCTTTGTAGGAAAAGACCTGCAGAGTCTCTCATGGAGTAAAAGTGTGTGTGTGGAGATCCACAGACTCTCCTGCTCCCACATGAAATAGAAATTGCATCATTGCAATTTGTGGTATTTCATTTTTTTTAACACCAGCATATGAAAAAGGGGACTAAAACCTGACACTTGCATCTGATACAGGCCAATTTTCTGGTGAATGCAGCCTCTTGGGTCCTTTCACAACGGCTTTGCCAACCTCACACAGTTTGAGTTGCCATCTTCTCAAAGCTTCTCTCTCATGCACTACTTTGCTGCAGCCAGCTCAAGGCTGGGGTCCACGTGCAGAATAGTCTCACCACAGACAACACTCCCAGCACAGCACCCTGCCAGCTTCTTTCAGATGGGGCAACCACCTCAGATGTGGTGTTGCAGCCACCTCGCATCGTTGTCCAAGAACAGCTTCACAGGACAACATCCATGCTCTGCTACATGCACTACATCACTGCAGAGACCTCTCACCTGCAGCTGAGGCCCTGGCCTTCCTGAAGGAATGATGCCATCAATCCAGTCAGGATCTTCTTTGAGTTAGAATGAGATTTTTCCCCAAATTTAGTAGGATACACCTTTCACAAAGTACATGAAGTTTGCTTCCATCAATCTTACTACACAGATCAACTTCTGTCAATCTCTAGTAATGACTGGGAAGTCTTGTTCCATGCTGGACAGGCTAGATATCACATCCCTTCAGCAGTGGCACAGGTAGCTTCAAATCAATACAGGATGACCCAAATCAAGACCTGAGTCCTAATCTGTTGATGCAGTTTGTTGCACCAAGAATCTGACCTTATTGCTGCACTCTCAGAACCATCAATCTGAGGCCTATGAAATGAAAAGATGCTGTAGAAAATATCCTGCACCTTTTTTAACATTTTGAGGAGCTTTCATACTGACAAAACTACTTCTTTGCAAAATAAATATCGGCTACTGCTTTGCATTTGTTTAAACCTATATGGGTCCTGTACATGAGCATAATTTTTAAACCTATACGGCTGCGTTGCACTTTGCTGTCATTCATTGGACACCATGAACCCAACCCCTTTGAACAGGATTTTGGAAGATGACCTTCTTTAGAAAGGTCATTTGATACTCTCAGCCTTGACAGTAGCCTCAAACCTGCAGCTGGTTTTCTCCAGCCTGGAAATTTCTGATGCTTGCTGAATTTTTCAGGATAAAATAGTGAAAACGATTTTCTCCTCTTCTCCTTGGAGAGAGAATTCCCCGTATCCTTTACTCACGTGGCATGTGTATAAATATAATCTCCTTTCTCTTCTGGCAGCAATTCAAATCATGGGTTTTATTCTCCACCCCACCCAGATGGCAGTTACGGAATCGGGGCGGGAGGGAAGAAGATCGGAGAGGAAACATATGAAATTATACAGGCAAGATTTAAAGGGGAAAGATAGATACAAAAAATGTGCAGAAAACAGCTGGCTTCTTCCTAATTTGATCTTTTCAAAAACAAAGCTGCACAAGTGAGACCTACTAGGTGATGTATTTGATTGCAATTGGGTTGCAAAACAGGCTAATTTTTCTTACTGTAGTCACTGTTTTCGTCCTTGGTCCCATCAATTGTACCATCTGGGTGCATCTGCAGGAAGTATTCCTGCTGGCTGAATAACCTTGTCACAATTCCTTTCAGCTGGGGTTCTGCAAAAAAAAAAAAAATAATTATTAGATATACCAAGCATGCAGCAAGTAGCAAGAGACCAAATCTGCTTGGCCCCCATTAAGCCCTGAGTAAATGTAAAAGTGCTTGGTAGATAAGACAGTTTTCTGTGATTCCTTTCAAGCGTGGTTGTAAAATATTCATATATACATAGACATACAGGCAAGTAAAATTGAGATCAGATGAGCAAGTAAAATGCAATGCATAGTTGGTGCAGCAGAAAGTAACAGATTTATGCAACATCGCTTCACTGAAAGTTACCTACTAAATGTAAGTCTTTAGGCAGCTTATGCATTCTGAATATGTCACTCATTCAGAAGAATATTTGCTAGTTCTGTTGCAAAGAATGTGCTTATTGTTTCTTATTCTACCTGTGAAGCCAACTACCACGCTTTCTGTATGCTTGATGCACTATCGTACAGCTCCAGTTTTATGCCAATGAAAATTTATTTAAATCCCTGGTAAAACCAAAGTAACTGAGTGCTGAATCAGGTTGCATGAGTCCAACTGTGTGGGACTCGAGGAGCAAAATCCTGAAAGGAACAGATGCAAGACACCTCCAAAAATGACCTCTGAAGCATTTATGGGCACCTTAAAACGCCTCTCTTTTAAAATATGGCATGTTCCTCCCTCCCAAAACACGTGCCACATTCTCATAGGTGAGAATCCCTCTTTGCCTTTAGCAGGGTCTTTTCCCAGCCCCTGTACATCATGAGCCAGGCATGGACTGGTTAGAGACTTCCCTATTGCCTCTGCAATAGTTCATACCTGTGCTGAGGAGGAAAAGGAAACTACAAAAAAAAAAAAAAAAGGAGAAACAATTTGAACTTCTCATAACAGAGGTCTGCAGCATTACCATCTCTCTCCCTGCCATCCAAGCGATCAAATACAAATTAAGCAGTCAAAAATAAATTCAATTTTAATCATGCGAGTCTTACAATTTGTCACAGGCATTACTTCTGGAAAGCAAGCTAGCTGGCTACACGTGAACAGACACACTAGCTGCATGGCAGAGATCCTCCTTGTGTGACGGGAGTTTGTAGTTTTATGTGACTACCCACCAAAAGTAAATAAGACCTAGTTATTGCTGGCTCAATAGACAGGAAAAAATCCAGTGTAGCATACCAAAATCTTGTCAGCCTCCCGTCTTTCATGCCTCTAGTGAGGCTGTTTAATAAGCCATAGTCATTATATAACTCCAGTCACGTTGTGTGTTAAGTGTTTCCATTAGGAGCCTCCGTCTCTAACGATTTTGCACCACGCTGTACAACTTCCATCCGAGGACAGCACTCACAGCCTGCGCTTCTGCCCAGGCAAATTCCCCTGCACCAAGCGGGGACCTTGGATGCAGACAGGCTGATTTCAGCTTCTGCAACCCCTCCACCAGCCAGGGGAGAGTCAGGTACTATTTTGTAGCTACGAAAGCCACCGAATAAATCAGTGTCGGCTGGTTTCTATGCTGCCTTAAAAAAGTGATTTCATAGCAACCAGAGTGCTGCAGACAGGCTCTCTCCCAGCAAGACTCAACTCTGGGACAGTAAATAAGTACAATTGTACTGGCCATCGACTACTAACTAACATCAGTGAAGCCAATATATGTCAAATTGAGACTTAGATTAAGCTAAGTGTTTTGCTTTCCTCGTACCAAAATGAATTATCTATTTTGTTGAGTGCAGAAGCTTGATTTAACTTGATTTTCTAACAAGCACAAAGCCAGAGGAAATGAAAAGCTGTATTCTCAGGCATAGATGACTGCACCACCCTCCTTGAGTCTGTCCCCTTCCTTCCTTTTATCTAATACCACAATAGCAACAGCATTAATAGAACCATAAAATAATTTAGGTTGTAAAAGACCCATCATCAAGTCCGACTGTTAACCTAGCGCTGGTTATACTACTAAGCCATTGCCCTCACTGGTATGAGGGACCTATGGTTGAGTCCCTTAGCAAGTTTTAGCCTCATTTTTACTCTCAGGTTAAATTTTAATGTTTAAGTGCTTTGCACAAAATGGAAAAGCTCCCAGCAGGAAAGATTTAGAAGATGCTTCCGCAGCCTGAGGCTGTGTGGTGGGTAAGGGGAGATCTTGTCTTAAAGTCCCTCAAAAATAAGAGGAGTGGAGAAATAAAACAACCCTGACCTTTTCTGCTTTCCCAAGATGACTTATCTACAGGATAGAAGGCCCTTTCCTTTTCCTTTGGGGTGCAAACTATATTTCAAATCACACAAATCGTTTTGGAACAACATGAAAACCTCTCCCACTTTTACGAAATAGCTTACCAAGTAAAACAGACCAAATCTGCTCATCATTAGGAGCTTCATGTCATTTCTAAAGCATATGAGAACAACGACCAAGATCCCCCTGCATCTTTTCACCAGAAGGCTAAGTGTCACTATCATGTAACACAGGAAAAGCTCCAGGGTCCCTTATTGTTACTGGTCTGACATAGTCACACAGTCAGGTCTGATTCAAGCTTTAACAGCTGCCCTCTTCATAATCTCAGGATTTTCTGAGTCTATGCCTGTCCAGGGACAGGTTGGAGGGGAAATCTTATCTTACATGTGCTTTTTTCTGACCTGACCTGGTTTTGCCAAAGTTTGAAGTTTATGCCCAAACTCAAAGTAAAACTCAAAGGGAGTGAAGTGAAGGGCTCTCAGCCACACACAAACCCAGCACATTCTTCCTGGCCCTAACACAGGCTGACAGCAGCAGTGTTCCTGTCTCTCCTCGCTGCACAGATCCTCTTCTGAGGGAGCATCCCTTCTCCCCAGGCTCATTTAGGATGCCCTGCAGCACCAGCAAACGAATGCTTTTTACAGACACCCAAGGGTCGGAAAGCACTTTGGAAACATACAGATGTCTCCTTCCGTGGCTTCTGAATTTCCTTGAGTCTCTTTCTACAGGAGAGAAGTGCTGGTGAGCAGCACCTTTGGGTACCAACCTGAACTAAACAGAAAAGCAGTGTAGAGACATGGACAGCCACCACAAAGTTCTCCCCTCTGATGCCGAGCACAGCCCTGGAGGGTTAAGGAGTTGTCTGGGCAATGGGCGATTTGTCTCACCTAGTACAGCCATCTCTACACCTGAACTGGGCTCCCTTTACATCCCAAAAATCAACAGGCAAGCCAGGCTTGGTCCATAGGGTGCTAAAACTACCTGCATCTGACTGCAGAGGGACCAGCTCAAACACAAACAGCTATGCTGGTGACAACAGCCAGCAGCGTAGCTGCTTCCTACCAGGGAACCTCCTGTCTCATGTCTAGGCATAAAGTGGGATATTGGGAATTGTCATTCATAGAACAAGCAGTATGACTGGGAGGCCTACAGGCAAAAATTTTAGCTGAAGGCAGCTTTTAACAGGGAACAAGGATTTACCCATCTTTCTCCCCAAAGCTCACTACAGAGTTATTACCTGAAGAGGGAACTGCATAATCACAGGACAGGATTTTTCCTACTAGCCCGGAGGCAAAGCTCTGCACATGACTTTTAAGAGACTCCCTACTTTTGCCATATCATATATTTTAACATCACTTCTTTCCACCTACAGGGCAATTTTATCACACTCTTTCAGCATTGCTATCCCTTGTACTGCAGCAATCATGCTGAAAACCTCAGTTTGTAAAAAAAGATTAGTCTCAAAACCAGCAGATCTCATGTCAGTTAAGGATGGTGGAACACCCTGGTAAGTTAGAAGCCACAAAGGCAACAACATACACTGAGAACTTTTCACAGTTTTGCAATAAAAAAAAAAAAAAGAGAGAGAGACTAACCCTTCCAAGCAGGCAGTATTCCCAGTGCTTGCTAGAGCCCCAGGGAGAAAAAGCTAAAATAAAAGCCCACAACCCTGATACTTTTATTTGTCTAAAGTTCGCCCAATAATACTGCTCCAGACTATAATGAATAAGAGAAAGAAGCAAACCATAAAAACAAAACCAAAAAAAATACGCAGCGCAGACAAGCACAAATCCTGCCACGAGCATTTTCTTTCTACTATTCACAGAATTTACCAGGAATCAAACTCAAACCTACTCTCTAACCTTGTAGAGGTAGCAAAGGGAACTCAGATCCTCTTGCCTTTAAAAGAGCAATACTGCATAATGCACTTGGGATAAACCTGTTCCTCCCACTCAGGCTCCTCCATACACTCTTCTATTTTGCTGTAGGAGCAGCTTTCCCCACAGAAATGGAACTGAACTAATGCAGACAAGACTTCAGCACCAATTCAGCATCTCCCTAAACACAAAATGAAGTACTTCAAAATGGATTTAAGAAAGAAGTTATGACGGCCTTGATCCCAAAGTACCAACAAAACACAAGAGATTTCCACTCCCAGTGCAGAGCCTGTGCTATTAGGATTCCCACATGATATGCAAAGAGATATTTTTACCCTTATTTCATAAGCAATGCTGTTATGCTTTAGGATGCTTACTTTAAAGATCCTGTTCTGGTTGCTCATACACAGCTGTTCAGGTCTGGGTGGTGCTGGAAAAAGCTCAGTAGATCCTTTCTTTATGCCAAATGCAGTGAGCTCAAATCCTTCAAATGTAGTGCCTCCAGAAGGTACAAGAAAAGCTCACAGCCACAGTACAGACCAGACCAATAAGCCATAGCTCTGTTCCTGGTTTGCAGCATCAGCCAGGCTGGGGGGTTTCCCTAGGGTGAAGACACAGTCCTCAGCTGATGACCCTTCTTAGAGCAGTCATCCAGCAACCAACTCACTGCACATCCCCTGAAGGGCATCCTGCTTGCTTCCCTTTCCACAGGCCAAACTTACCACCTCTTCCTGCCCTGCTTTTAACTTTCTGAGCCCTTTGACACAGCTGAGGCTAACTAAGTCATGATCTGATTGCTAATCTCCTTGTCTCTACTTACATGGTAATGTGATGCTGCCATTATTCATTTCAGCTGTCCTGCTGCTGTGCCTTAAAGTCATAATGGTTCACCATCAGCTGCTGTGCTTCCTGCCTTATTGTACAGCTGTAC